CATCCAACCAACTGGACGCTCAGCTTTGAATTGGTCGATGAACCTTTTACCAAATACAGAATTCAGCAACTTTTCAAATTCCATATCTACTCCTGAAATAAATAAATAATAATAATAATTTCATGAGACTTTACAATACACACAAACACAACAATCAAAACTAATCACCCAGACATCAAGGCCACCATAACAGAATGTGCTTTCTTATTGACACGACATTCCCTGCAGACTGTAATGTATTTTTGAAAATCTTCAAAAAATCTATCAAAATACAAGGATCTTGAAGTGGAAATCTAAAAATGTAGCACATGAAGACATAATTAATTCTAGTTGTGGTTGGAGTTATAATTTTGATTAGAAAAGATTCTGATAGACTCATTGTAGCAAGCCTGGCCTAACTGTAGTATATGATTAAACAGCTAAAAGCGAAGGTTATATTCTTGCTGCACAGGACCAATGATTGCTAACTAGAAATGACCAAGCTGAAAAAATTGCGTTACCCTGAAATGCTGATTCTGTGATAAATATCCAGAAACAATTGAACAACTTGTATCAAGTTGCACGGACTTAGCACCCACTGAATATAAAAATCAACATGAACGGGCCAATATCTGCATTGGAAAATATGTAACTTTTACGCGAAGGAAACTAAGAATTTGTATGAAGACGAGCCAGACCCGATTACAGACATTGGACTTATAACAATTTCATCGGACTTTACAATACAGAAAGAGAGAGAGAGAGAGAGAGAACAATTAAAGCTAATTACACAGACATCGTGATCAAAAACCACAAAAATAGAATGAGCTTTCTTATTGACACGACATTCCCTGCAGATTTTAAAGTATCTTTGAAGACCTTCAAAAAATCTATCAAAATACAAGGATCTTCAAATGGAAATCTAAAAATTGTAGCACATAAGGACATAATAATAATAATTCCAGTTGTAGTAGGAGTACTCGGATTGATTGGGAAAGTGTCCGATAGACTCAGTGAAGGGATTGATGATAATATATGTCTTAAAGAAATACAAATAATTATACTCACAACTACAGCTCATACATTACGAAAATCTTTATCTATGTAAAATGTGTTTGATCTTAGATTTTTTTTTTCTGCGGTTGGGGGATCTTTTATTTTACAAAAATGATCAGTGAAAATGTCATTAAGTCATTTCTGATCTCAGGTCCCTGGTTGGGACCCGGAAAGAAATGTGTATACTACAGAAATCAAAGGAAATAATAACAACAATAATAATTTGCAACAGTACTAACAAAAGCTTAGAATATTTTCAAACGGCTTTAAGGGCATTTCAAGAAACAAATAAAAGAATTGCAAAAGGAATAATGTAGTCCTGGCTGCGTAGAGGACAGCTGAAGAGGGAAACAGGATCACTGCAAATAGTCTGTGTAAGTCCTGGACAAGTGCATTGAAAACGAATATGAATGTGAAGATAGACGAGACACAGTTGAATAGTAAACGTGTCCAGTGCGAACAGAAAGCTATGACTGTCGAATATATATGTGAATATAGGAAATTAACTCGTAAGGAGTACAGAATAGGCGTGACTGGGTTAGAGTGGCGATCCCCTTGGAATTATACAAATGATTGTGGTTTATCATGCAAACCAGTGGTGGAGGCACGAACCAGAAACTGCTTTAGAGAATAAAAATTACAATTCTATGTAACTTTGAAATTCAAACTGATCATCGAAGAACATTGTGGCTTTGTCAAGGACACTGGAACAAGGAAATTTATCAACAGATAGATATAGGAAAGAGCCATAGAAATGCAGAAGGTTGCACACTTATGTTTCATCATCCTGGATAAGACGTTAAACTACACCCGTGTTCTAGGTAAGACGATAAACTACATCCAGCAGCAGTTCCTCTGATCAGGAGGTTTTGAGGAGCGTGGAACCACCTCTTAATTGCTGGCATTTCCAGGTCAACCCTGATCTGGGGTGGTAGCACCTGTTAGGGTCCCAGATATGAGCAAATAGTTAACTATTACCAGCAATACTTTTTTTTTGAAAAAAATTATTACCATCAATACAATTGTGAAGGAAAAATATTAGCAGAAACAGATTTTTGACAAAACAAAATATTACCAGCAATAAAAAATTTTGTCGGCATTAAATAACCAATTGCGGTTGATATGCCGTAAAGCAAAATAAAACAAACCAATTTAAACCAAACAATACATATTCTATTCATACGAATCTATCCTAAAAATCTTGTCGGCATTAAGTAACCCATTGAGGTTGATATACCGTAAAACAAAATAAACCAAAACAAATTTATGTTTCATAGATTACGCAAAAGCATTTCATAAGATACGGAGATCTATTTGAAATGCTAGGACAACTATGTTTATTTAAGAAGGATCTTAGAATAATCCAGAACTTATAACCGGCTGCATAGGTAAAAAATATGAATTGAGTAGAAAGAAGCGGGAGACAAGGATACGTCTTCTCGCCAGATTTGTACAACCACTACAACGTGGCTCTACTAAGGGAGCTGGAAACCCTACCAGCTGAATATCGGTGAGCACAATCTTAACATTATAAGGTACGCAGATAACACCGTGTTGATTGCAGACAGAAAATGAAATCCACAGTACCTCCAAGACAAGGTAGAAAGGAATGGGATAAATTAGCTATCAATGGATGAATTCACACCTTTCCCGAAGATATTTGCGAGTAATTGAATGTAACGAACCCGACTGGAATTCGAAATTTGCTCTCTGATTTCTCGTTTAGGAAAGAGAGAAAAATGGAATAACCAAAAATTGTAAGAGCACAAAATATACGATTGTCAGCAAAAGAAAACTAACAAGATGCGAACTACAAGTTGGACACGACTGACTCAAAATTATTTACTATGAAAACAGAGATAAGCACCCAAATACAGTCAATAGCCTTTATAAAGTTTCAATGTCTGAAAAAAGCTGGGTTTTTTTTTCTTTTGGATCTTACGTTCAGTTTAATCTGAACTCAAAATTCTGACTGATCATTTCACCAAATTATAGATTTGATCTAATATTATTAAACTGTCCTTTTACTAGCGCTACTGAAATTAAATCAAATCACTTCTGCCATCGGGGCAACAAGATGCCGCTCTTTTCTTGCTTTGACAATAATTTAATCATATCAATTGCAATATTAATCTTATACTATTATTCGACTTGTTTCTATATACGACCATTACACATTTCAGACAAGTCTGGGCCGAATAAACGTTACTCAACCGGAAGTGTTTGTCGCCAAACTGTTTAAACACTGCAATGTCGTAATATTTCTTTTACTTTTCTTTCTGTCTTTCTTTCTTTCTTAATATCTCGCCATTCTTTCATCTTACTATTTTCCACTTTCTAAATATTAACTCAATTCTTCCTTTCTTTCTTGCCTTCTTAATATTTCTCTACAATTTCCTTTTTTCTTCATATTTCCTAAAATCTCCTTTCTTTCTTCATTCATTCTTCATTCTTTTCTTTCTTTATTTCTTCATATTATTTTTTCTTCATGCTTTCTTTTAGATTTCCTCAATATCTCTTTTCTTTCAGCATTCGTTCTTCCTCAATTCTTCTTCATTTCTTTGTTTCGTTTTTCTTTTTTTTTCTTAATATCTGCGTATTCTTTCTTTCTCCTTCCTTTTATGTTTCCTCAATATTTCCTTAATCCCATCATTCTTTCATCTTTAATCCTTCTTCATACTTTTTCTTTTTTCTTTGTTTCATTTTTCTTTCTTTTGTTTATCTTTCTTTCTTTCGTTCGTTCTTTCTTTCTTAATATTGCTATGCTTTTTCATTTTTCTTAATATTTTCACACTTTCTTACTTAATATTTCCCAGACATTCTTTCTTCATTTATTTATTCACTCTTTCCTTCTTTATTTCTTCCTGCATTTTCTTTCTTCATTATCTTTTTTATAACAGTCTTTCAATATAGCCTTTCTTTCATCATTCTTTCTTTCTCAATCATTTTTCTTTCTTTTTTCTTTCTTACGTTTTTCTTCATTCTTTTCTTCTTCTTCTTTTATTTATTCATACTTTTTCTTTCATTATTCTTTCTTTTATAACAGTTCTTCACTACTTCCTTTCCTTAACTATTCTTTCCTCCTCAATCTTTAATCATTTCTTTCATTTTTCTTTCTTTCGTTTTTCTTTCTTACTTTTTGGCCAAACTTCTTTATCATATTTTTATTTATTTTGTATGTGTACAATTATATTTATTATGCATATAATATTTCCAATTTTTAATTCTATTCTTTTGCAGGCAATGACTGAGGGATTTTCAAAAATATCCAATTTAATTGTTGTGTTGTTTAAAGCAAGATTCTCCTAACCTAATCACCGCTCACAAAATCATGGGAAAAAAGCAAGACGACAAAATTCAGCTCATGAAACAATAATTTCTTTCTTTCATTACTTAAAAAATATCATTACAACTTTAAAACCGATTTTAATAGTTACAGTGTCTACAGTAAAGCCGCTAATACTCACAAATAATACCTTAGCTGTCAACACGCGTGAAATTTTTGAGTTAAACTATTTGCTATTGTGATGCATCGTCTCCAAGTCAACGCTTTTCAAATTAGCTAACTACAACTCTATCGCTTCTCATGTTGACTCCCTGTGGCTCTTGTTATATTTCAAACGAAAAGATGTAATGAAAATCTGAGTTTCGTATGTTGTCATTCAAACATTTCTACGGTAACATTAAGACGCAACCGACAATCGACTCTGATACAAAATTGTAAAGATTTTATCGACCACAAACAATTGCTAGCAAAATTATATCAGTTCTCAGCATTTAAAAAACATCAGAAAATAACCATCACGAGGAGATGAGCATGAATAAACAAATTTATAAATGAACATTGTGCGGGGTTGTCCGCATATATAATTAATTCAGACACACGATAAGCTATTATTTTGTTTTATTCTTATAGATAGTTCTATGTATTTCATGACGAAAGTTTCGTGTATAGCTCATGTACGTTAGATAGATAGATAGATAGATAGATAGATAGATAGATAGATAGATAGTATGAAAAGAAAGAGATGGAGAGGGAGAGAAATGATCAAAAAGGATAGATAGATAGATAGATAGATAGATAGATAGATAGATAGATACGAACAGATGGAATAGAACAGACTAGATAGATAGATAGATAGATAGATAGATAGATAGATAGATAGATAGATAGATAGATGGGATAGATAGATGACAGAAAAGGGATAGATAGATATGATAGAGAAGATAGATAGATAGATAGATAGATAGATAGATAGATAGATAGACAGATGGAATAGATAGATAGATAGATAGATAGATGAAGATAGACTGGGATAGATACGAACAGATGGGATAGATAGATATGAGCAGAAAGAGATAGATAGATAGATAGATAGATAGATATAGAACAGACTGGGATAGATAACGAACAGACTGGAGCAGAAAGAGATAGATAGATAGATAGATAGATAGATAGATAGATACGAACAGACTGGAATAGATAGATAGATAGATAGATAGATAGATAGATAGATAGATAGATAGATATGAACAGACTGGAATAGATAGATAGATAGATAGATAGATAGATAGATAGATAGATAGATAGATATGAACAGACTGGAATAGATAGATATGATCAGAAAGAGATAGATATATAGATAGATAGATAGATAGATAGATAGATAGACTGAGATGTCACCCCGATGGACAAAGGTGAAATTATAAAAGATATCCTTGCCGCCATTTTTTTTTAAATCCGCCACCTGTACCATCTTAATGTTCTTGGCACTTTCGAAAGTTTGCCCATTTTTCGTCGTAACCTCAAATATGCAGCACCATCTCACTTAACACGGTTTTGATTAGCACTGTTTAATAATTGCAACCTCTTGTTTATGTAACAAATAAATTTCATTCATAGTCGAAAATTATAAATTTAAATTCTTTTCAAATATTCAGTTTTCATAGCAACGACAGGTACGCGGAAATATAACGTCATACCACCGAGACACGTGTCATGGTCTCACAGCTTCATTGTGTTTTCGTTTGCCTACAACAGCAGTCAGGGAAAGGGGCTTTATTTTTCCATCTTGCAAAAATGCATAATAATCTTATTTTATAAAAGCGTGCGTATGTATAAAAAAAAACATTTCATAGAAGGCGGGGAGATTTTCTGAAATCGAATTGAATTTGCAACAATTCCAAAAATGAGTCGAAATAATATGATTCTGATCTTGGAAAAATATCTTGTGAAAGTATCATGAAATGTCTGCCGTATGATAGATAAAACACTCATCTGACACCGGTAAGAGATTCAAGAGAAAAGAAAATAATGCATCTAGACTAAGTTAGATACAATCTTTTTCAAAATGAATTACAAAAATTCTCAAAAACAGATTTTTCTCAGGAAATATTTCGACAATTCATGATTTTATTTTTAATTTAATTTTTTAATACACCCTTGTTCAAATGAATTGAAACAAAACGAATAATACCGTTATTATTTACTTTTTTATCGTATTTTTCCAATGAAACATGACCCAGTACACATGTTAGTACTTCGTATATCCATTCCAAGAAGTCGTTCCTTGCAGATTCTCAATTGGATTTAAATTAGGAGAGTTTCCGGGCCAGTCGATAGTACTTTGATTTGCTCGCTGGTAAAGCTTGCCATTGTATTCATGCAGCGTTATCATTTTCGTATGCTGCCTTGGAGCAACATCCATTACATACAATGGCCATAAGACAACCAATCGACAGTCGAAACAACAGTGTTTGGGGTGATGAAAATCTAATGCAAACATGGATGACGCAATATTTTTCAAGGCCAAACAAATTTCATCATACACCCTGAAAATAGATTCATATTACTGCATACCACTGCAAATGACCTAATCTGAGGAAAAAATAGAAATCGATCACACCCTGTCACTCCAGTGGGTCTAAAAATGACCGTATGATGAAAGAAAGGAAACCAAAGCGGTTGTTTCAATTAATTTGCACAAGGGTGTAAGTAAGGTAGTTAGGAAATGCTTATTCAACTTTTACAGCAAGGCGATCCTGAATGAACTAGAAGTTTTGCCAAGTTTTAGCGGACAATCTTAAATATACAGATGACACAGTGTTGTTAAAAGACACAGAAACTAAACTATTAAGAACCCTTAGAGAGGATGGTAAACGAAACTTAGTAGAAAAGACAAGCATCAATTGTAAGAAGAAAGAATTTCTAGTCGTCAGCAAGAGGAACAGCCCTACAGATTGGAGACGCCACAATCAAGCAAATGCGAAAAATTAAATATCTGAGAAGTGTTTTAACATAAGATGGAAAATGTGACACCAAAATCCGAAGAAACATAGGAATAGATGAACATGTCTTCCAAAGACGAAGCAAATTATTAAGAAACATGAATATTGAAGTATTGAACTAAAAAGGAAACAGAAAAGACGCTTATACTTAGAATGAGAAAGACACAGTTAAATTTCTAGGTTTTTAAGGAAAGTAGGCTCGGAAAATTTGATACTAACAGGACACAGTGAATGTAAGATGAACAGAGAAAAACAGCATGTAAATTTGTTTTGTTTTACAGCATATCAACTTCAATGGGTTATTTAATGCCGACGATATTTTTATTGGTGGTAATATTTTTTTCCAAACATGTATTGTTGGTAATATTTTTTCAAAAATGTATTCAAAAATATTGCTGGTAATAATCTTTTTTTTTCCAAAAATGTATTGCTGGTAATATTTTTCTTTTTAAAAATGTACTGCTGGTAATAATTTTCACAAAAATGTATTGCTGGTACTGAAACCTATTTTTATACTTTCATAGTGTTTTGACCCTTTTTTTTTGGTGGGGGGGGGGTAACTTTTTGTCCATAGCTGGGACCCTGACAGGTGCTATCCATCCGTGTCAGGGTGGACCTGAAAACACCAACAATTAAGAGGTGCTTCTATGCTTCTCAAAATCCCCTGATCAAAGGCCTTGCTGTCGGATGTAATTTATCGTCTTAGGACGCGGATGTAGTTTATCGTCATGCCAAGGACGGTAGCATGTAAGTTACCTAACAAGATTATGTAAATGGATGACAGATCAAGGAGTGAGAACGATGGCACAAAGACAAACCTTGCTAAAAACTATAAAGAAAATAGAAAGTTGATGGGGTCATGATCTCTCATTTCCCGAAGGGGCTCGGTACAAAGAAGAAGTTAATTTTGGTAGATGATGTAATGAATATACATACACCTGGGTTCCCCCTCACAGTAATGTGATTGGCTGGTGTCAGCCATAAATACAGACTGATGTGGAGGTACAGGGACGACGCCTATTGTTTTCGCCTATTGCCTATGCTTATTGCCTACCTCTACGACGAGGACCAGTCCATTACGGCTACCTGCTAGATTATCCTACCCGGTTACAGTAGTCCAACACCACTTTGCTACTTCGAACAAATATATCCCTTTCCAGGACATATCAGCTGATGACGCATCCCCTGAACTCAAATTTCTATAAATGATTTTGTAGCGTTGTAATATCTATCTTCTTATCCAAATTTTTACATACTGTCTTTGCCCAGCTGAATGTAAGTATCCAACTTTATTGATCGTTGTTCAGTTCTGCGTAAATTCAAAGAGTCATCACTCATACAGCGTATCTTTATGGCAGTATAAATAGTACTTTTCGAACATTCAATTTCGAAAACTATTCAGAAAGAAGACGTGACCATTTAAGCTTATATCACGACACATTCTTTTTTGTAGCTGATACCAAACTACGACTATGAGCATTTTACTAATTTTAACAGTATTTTCTTTTTTTTATAAGTGACATATTTCACTTTATCAACTATTAAAATCTAGCTTTTTATTTTCCGAAAGCTTAGCAGATTACTAATAGGGAGAAAAAAAACTACGCTGGAAACAAGAAAAAGAATACCAAACTGTTACGTAATATCTGCCCCCCCCCTGTATGGCAGTGAGTGCTGGAAAAATCCCATTAAAGTTCAAGAAGATACATGAAGCAGTAGAAATGTGGTTCTACAGAAGGATGCTGAGGTTACCATGGATTGGACCGAAGATGTAAAAAACAATTTTAGAAAATGGAAACAAAAAGGAAACATCACGAAGAGACAATTGAGGTTTCTAGAGTACATAATGAGGAAAGAGGGCTTGGAAAATTTGATACTCACAGGACAGATTGAAAGCAAAAATGACAGAGAAACACAACGCAGAACATAGTGTGTCTGAGTAAATAGATGGCAGAACAGAGATTAGGAGAAATGACAGAAAGACGGAATTTATTAACAGATACAAAAGACAAGAAGTTGTGGAGAGCCATATTCTTCCATGCTCTGAGTGGACACAGCACACGAGTAATGTTTATTTTTTTACTAATCCTTTCATACCTTTTTCCGACATTCTTTCACACGTGGCTTTGTTTAGACACTGTCCATGCTATCAACATGTTTCCATAAAGAAATGAGCACGCTTCCAATTAATTCATAAGGTTTGTAACTTGGAATAAGGGTTTAAATGCATAGATACACATCATTATATATGTGCCGTCTGCCTTCAGGATGTGGGCGATCATGGTTCTCCACAATTTCCTGTCTCTTGTAGATTTAAGCAACGTTCGACTCTTTACTATCCTCATTGTCTCTGCTTTGCCATCCACTAGTGTTAGGTTACTTCTTGCTTCACTCAAAAAGTCATGTGAGTATCAAATTTTCCAAACCGTCCTTCCTCTTAATATAACCCCAAAATTTCATCTATCTCTTTCTGATTTAAATATGACTTTCTGGTTTCCATTTTTAAACCTCTTCAAGACTCCCATGTTCCGCATCCGGCCATAAAATCAAATCTCCCTCGCTTCATGTCTCTTCTTCCTCTATAAAGAAATTGTCCAGCATTCACTGTCGTATAGGAGAATAGGTATGGTTTCTTATTAAAATTTAGAACTTTGCTTAGTTTCTGGAATACATATTT